TTCTTGGAAATCGCCATTCCTTCGGCTTTGAATTAACGACTAACGACATGCCTCTTTAACTTGATCAAATATCTCGTATAGGCGTCCACGCAGAAAATGTTTCACTGAGTGGAAACGAGACCATAATCTGACCGCACAGCATCTAAACTGTAAGCCAGGTGTGCTAAGACCTCGAATTTCTCTTACTCATGAAACTTTTCCTTAGTTATCTTTGCAGTGTGAGGTTGGGCATTGTTTTGCCGAAACAATGCAGGCTTTCAACAATTCAATGCTAAGTACTTTTCGTTCAGCGCGTCGCAGACTAAGTGTACTTGATCGCTGTAGAGTTCGGCATTGATTTCGCGACCATATGGAACAAGTTCGAAATCAAGACACTTCCGTCTTTACCATTAGGGTATACCATCATGCAATTGTTAACTTACATAGACTGTCGTACAAGCGGTTTTGAGGCAACTGGCGGCGTAATGTGTGGGTGGGTAATCTATAATACTTGCATAATTTTTAGACTATTGTTTATCAGACAGCTTTTGATAGTACACGGCACGATATGGTACGTCTAGGCTTGACGAAGGAGAAATCGATGACACATCAGTTTTAAGGGAGGAGTAATAACCTCGTGCAAGTTTCATATAAAGAAAAGGGAAGTTCCTAAGAATTTTCCATTTTTCATCACTCACGCCAGTGTTCACAGAGGGTAGGACTTTTGGTTTGTAAGAATATTCATTTTTATCTTTCAAATATGTAAATAAATTTTAGCAGACTCTGCCGGTAATAGCTCTTCTATTTTTGTATCTAATAACTCAAAAAGCAACAACGAACTTGGCACTCAGTATTTACACCTGAGGAATGTCGACTAGCATCTCTTTGGGACTTTTGAGGGGGTTGAGAAAGAGTTTCTTACCTCTTCAATTCAAAGTAGAACCCTTACGACACAATTTTACCACAGAGTCTGCTATTTCAGAGCACAGAGTGATCAGTTGAAGAAGTGAAATGTATGCCAAATGTTGTGTGATGTGTGGATTGATCACTCCAACAAAAATTCCAATGAATACGCGATCCTCAAATAGCGTAACTTACTCTCAGTTTTTGCCTACTCATTCTTAGTGCTGCGACATAAAATTTTAATCTTCTCCAGAAAAAAAATATTCAAAATCGTCAGAGCGATGATATTACAAGTGTACTTTAGAAGAAACCAGTAAAAGCAGATATTGACTGCCAGAAACAGGCACAATTTTCTTTAAAGCATTTAAGAACAAAAGTGTACATTAAAATTTGTGTTTATCAAGCCTCAATATTCTCAGCAGTTCCACTCATTTAGTCCTCCTACGAAATCTCTTTGTTGAGGTGAGCAACTGAAAGCCAAAAGAAGATGTTCTGAGGAATTTTTGGGTGGCTCAAAAAATCGTCAGTATGGGGAAAGAGAAGGAAATTTTGTGAGAATACGCGCAGAAAAAAAACTTAGGCATAAAATTATCGCTTCCTGATGTGAAGAGCAACATCTGAACACTTTGGCGATATGTCCACTGTATCGAGATAAGAAAGTAAAGTGAACGTTGTTAAGAACGCAAGTGATTTGATGATGAGTAGAGGTTCTTTGCTCACCATCTCAAATGCTTTAAATTTCTCATCAAGGTGGATGTTTATGGAACATTCTAGTTTTCTCACCGTTCTTCATGATATGCGATGCACGGACATAACAAGATTTCTCAATACATATCTTATACAGTGAAATACCATTTCAATTGTGCAACGGTTACACATTATATAGTGATAAGTTTATTTTCGAAGAGTATCACCTGCTAATCAAAATGTGATTTCTATGCTGTAAGCAATCAGTTCGATCTACTAAGTTTCCCACGTTTCCGAAATAGCTGAAATTTCTACTCAAAACAACGGTTTTCGGCAGAGATTGGCAGATCTTTCAAAAAAAAAAAAATTATAGAGAGACGCACTGGCTACTGTTCCATCAGCTTCGCTAGTGAATTGCAGTGGAATCGTTTTCCAACTTATCACATTCCCTTGTCGCATAAAACGGCTAGGACATCAGATTTTAACAAAACAAACTCTCACTGACGTTTGCACTTCAAGCAAATCATATATGCTTCCGGATAAGATTTCTTCCACTTCAGAAGTTGGATTCATAAACCTCGGCGTGAATTTGAAAAATTTCGATTCTTCTCGGTTATCCTGCGATAAATGAAGAAGACTCCTTTCGCTGGGCAAAAATTTTCACTTCACCTTTTGTAATCATTTGGAACTTAAATCCTTAGCTACTACGTATATTGGCTGTTTTCTGAACAGACTTTGTGTAACGATAGCAGAAAGAAAACTTTACGTTTCTCACATGCGTTTTCCCACAAGAGAGGATTTTTCTTCAAGACTACTAGTATTCATTCGATAGCGCAAGTTTCAACGACTCCAATGCTCTAGCTATTTTTTCAAAAGACCGTTGTGCAGTGTAGCAGGGAAAATAATATTGATGCATAAGCGGGCATGGGAATCTTGGGTAATCTTCGGACTAGGAGGAGAGGCGCAAGGGGGCTGCCCATGGTTTCATCATGGTGATCGATCGATTGTACTGATGCATCACGCATGTAATGTGCAATTTTGGTTAATCAGTTAGAACTTTTCTACATTCTCGAAAGAAATTCCAGAGAAGAGATTAACTGTGATACTAAAACATTTCCTTTAGTCGATCTTATGCCTTTCGTCCTTTCATCGAAGTAATAGTAAAACTGCGTGGTCGATGAGAAATACAATTTTATTTTGAGTTTTACAGCGTCAAAAAAGGTTCTCTCAATAAACGGTCATATAGGGCAGTGGCTAGTGTTTTGAGTTTTCGAATGATTACTAACACTTCTGTAAAAAGCTTTTGTCCAGTAAAGGGGGTCGTTTTTTCATTAGGATCCGGATAACCAGGAAGAACCATATTTGTTGAGAACTGGGCTTGTTTTAGATAAAACTCAAAAGAGGTTGATATTCTTCTTTGAAATGCGGTATACAACATTCCGGCGATACCACCTCTTAGGAGTCTAGAGAACACAGTGCACCAAACTGTATTCGAATATTCGGTTGATTGTATCTATTTGAGGGGACAATTTAATGGAAAAATCAATTCAAATGCCCACTCAGTATAAGATACTCAATGTTCACTTACCTGGTCGTCTGTGCTGTCACACATATGGGAGAGGTCACTCACTGTGCTTTTAGAAATAAAAAACGAATTTAAAAAAATAGGAAACCTATCCAAAGTAAGGTGTTATATCACTGGTCATGCTCAGGCAATATAGCTTTCCGCTCAGTTCTGGACTTTGAAGTTGATCTAAAAGGCTTTGTCACTTTTGAACATTTGATAGTTTCTTAGAAGCTTTTCAGAGTTATAGCAGCGAGAATAAATTTATGTTTCACACTTGGCCCACATGTCAGCGCATACTTTCGTTATTTATCTGAGATTCCCCTCCGTTTCATGCTCTACAAGCTGATACTTTATCTTCTTTTTATCTTGTCAAGTAAACGCTTCACTCATTCTAAGCCCAAGCAACCTAAGCTCAGGAGTGCAAAACGTGATCATCTTTTCATTCTTCTGCGGTTTGAAAAAGACTTTTTCGAAAGTTAAATTTACCTCAAGAAATACCTAAATTTCGATCGAATAACTACTAAAAGTATGCTAAAACACCCTTAACAAGCCGTAGCCACCTCATTACCGTTTGTTGCAAATGTTGAGAAATCCCATTCACATGGCTCTTCACACATCTGAGCCGAGCATTAGGTACACGTTGAGTGTAGAACTTAATTTTATTTTCGCTGCTGCAGAGCACTAAAGAGCTTTTTCGTAAAAGTGTGGTAATTGAAGCTCGAGATTTTAGCTCCATTGCTCAATATTGTCAAAATTTTAGAAGAAAAGCTCTGGCGGCAAAAGATTCGCTATGTGTAAAATTTACATCTATTATCGATACTACAGCATGCTTGAAAAGTCTTTTGAGAGTGGAGCAGGAATGGATTTGCCGAGATTTAAGGTTGCGAATGTTTTACAGAAATTGGGGAGTAAGTAGAAATCGCTTTGCTCCTATAGGTTGAAAAAGTGTGCCTCTGTAATAGAACTGTAACCATTGGCCTTACACGTCTCATAAAATATCCGGTAAATTGTATTAGAACCCATGTTGTCTTTCTCTCTATTATTGGAACGTATCATGTAGTACTTTGTTTTACACAGACGGCCATACAGACGGTTCCGGACCAAATGGCGGCAAATGTGTTAGGAGGAATCTCTACAATTTTCATGAAGTTTCCAGACCAGTGTTCCAAAGACATTACTCAAACGCAGTACTTACTTCGATTCACATAAGAGATAACTTCAAAGCTACCTTCTTTTTCGATCTGCATACTATTGCTTTCGTTATGAGATCTATTTATCTTTCCCACTCTTATCTCAATGGCTGTCGTTTCGTAGCTATTTGAGATTCTTATTGCAGGTGCAACATACCTCCCGCTTGAAAATTGTGTGATAACAAAAATAGTCTATTTCATGTATCCATGAAAAAACATTCAGATAAAAGGTTGAAAAGTCGTAGAAGTGCTCTTCTAGGTACCTATAGGAGAAAAGGACATGCAGTTGACGTTCTGAGATGGTAGCGAGAATCTTAACGTAGAGGACAAAACATCGTTGTATAGATCTTGTTTGATTAAGGTGACCTTCCCTCACATATAGTTGAAAGACGGGTTTCACGTAATAGGTAGTGATTCCAACTGACTTTTCATTAGATTGTCACTAAATATAAGAAGCAGTGACCAAATATTTGGATATGGTTTGGCATTTTGCATCGTCTGTGCTTTGAGGAAGGCGAAATCGCCTAGGCGTAAGCATCGGATTAAAAAGAGAAATACAAACCTTATCTGGGCAAAAGTGCAGTAGTAAATCGAAATTCATATTATTTGACCTCTATTGCGGTGGTATGATGTTTTAATAAACCCAATAATGTAAAGTGGTGTGCAAAAACACTTGCGTCAGCTGGGTTTCGAACCCAGATTTCACTCTCTCAGGGAGAGCGTGCTAAAACCGTTTTACAACCGACGCCCGTTTCAACACCATTGCTTTACGCCGCAGCGCGTTATGTGTCAACAGCCATTGAAACATCATACCACCACAATAGACGGTCAAATAAATTGAATTCTGATTGATGATTGAAACCCATTATCAATCAGCATAAGTGGGTGGACCCCACGCGAAACCGTAGACGGTTGGCTGTTGATAGATAACACGCTGTAGCACAAAAGAGTGGTATCAAAACGGGCGTCGGTAGTGCAACAGTTCAGCATACGCTCCCGAATAGAGTGAAGTCTGGTTTCGAGTCTCAGCTGACGCAAGTGTTTTTTGCATATCACTCTACATTACTGGGTATATTAAAAAAGTACACTAAGTTAGATTTTTTTGCATTGCCTAATAAGAACACAGTTGGACTTGCTTTTGGATATAGAACCATATTATCGAAAGGACATTTCTTCTACATTGTGTCATTACTACGGTGATCGAGAAATTGGGTGAATCCGAAGGTTCCACTAAGTTCATAATAAGTTCTGCTTGCTTGTCTCTTGAATGACTATTCAAAGACACCGTTACTACTGTAATTCATCAACATTACCATGTGTTTATTATGAACGGTGAATAATGCTGAACATGAAGCTCCGTATTGTGACAGTTTCATGTTTGAATGGTTCCGTGTTGCAGCAGTTCCCATCTCTTCATTTGAAATAAATTGTGAGCGACGAGCAGCCTTTCCATGGTATGCTCCCTGTCCTTCCAGTGCGATACTGTACGAATCAGTGAATCCAAATTTGTGCTTTTACAAGACTGTATTGCCTAAAATCGCATGAGGGAGATGTTTCATAGCGCTATTTTTCGTGAATTACTGTACTATACTCAATTCATCGTTTTAGACATACTATGATCGAACCTAGAAAAACCGCCTTTCCTTCCATCTCTGCTTTATCAATCAATGATAGCTTCTGAGTAGTCCAGGAAATACCCTACAATGATAAGTGTGATTTTTCTTGCCAACGTTTCAACGTTTTCGTCTTCTTCGAGCCGATGATTAGATTCTGTTGTGAATGTTTGCTTTCGTATGAGTGTTCTCCTTCGGTTCGTTTAAGTCGAACCATCTTCAGTGAAGAATCCTAGTATACTTTACTAAGATTTTATACAAAATATGGAGCATGCAAATTAGCTAACCAACGGTCGATTATAATGTTATCTTCGGAATCTATTTTGCCAAAGTCGGCCTAGTCGAAGGATAGTCGCTTTTCAATGTATTGTTATGTTCGTGCTAGGTGATAATAAAACAGACTTGAGTATGTTAAAGAACCCGTCACAAAACATCATTAAAGAAGTGATTAGCTAATAGAATATGCTTCATCCTAACTCTAAAAACATGCTCAAGTATGGTTCTTCATTCGATTCATTTTTTTTTCTTCTATGGAATGGAAGAGGATTCAGCATCAATATCGTGACTTGTGGATTCAACTTATCAATCGCAGTTCACCGTTTTTGATGACTAATTCAAAATATCGTTTACCCACCAATGAATTGTAGCACTCCTGTTTTTCACATAGGAAGTAGAGAAGTCAATTGTACCATTCAGTATCTGAAACTGAGACCAATCCATCCTAAGTTTTTCTTTTACAAGAATGGAAATTTCCATAAACGATACATCAACTCAGTGAGAGAGATTGTGTCTTTTACGGCATTTTTTTTGTCATCTGTGGAGTTAAGTGCACGATATGATGCCAGCTATAGCAGCTTACAAGCGACCTCGGATGCAAATCAGCTTCTCAAATGGGTTGGTAACCCAATAATCAAACGGACCTTCATTATACTATCATTATATGTAAGCTTCACATGCCAACTTGAATGTAGCGAAATCGTGTGCACTATGGTGCCGTTCTTATTTCATTCGGATTCGCAAAATTTCTCCTAAATGAAGCCAGCTAGTAATAGATCTATATGTAATTATAATTAAAAGTCGAGTACGCTCTGCCTATCGTCGCAAAAAAATAGAAATATAAAAGCAGATGTGCTTATAACCTCTACTGGATCATGCAATTAGACGTGCTCAGCATACACCTCGTTTTTAGTGATTGTACCGGATGCTGTGAATCAGCCCCATGAGCCGCACACCGTATCTACTACACCTAAATCAGAGACCAAAAGAAAACACATTTTTCCTCACTATGTTGCTTTGGCTCATTCCACAAAAAGTTGTATCTTTCACGGAATCATCCGCATAATGAAACCATTGATTTGCTTGAAATGGAAAGCCACTATCAGTTGTGTTGTGTAAGAACATTTCAGTTCTCTTGCATTGAGCTATCTAAACAAGTAGTGTTATTCCACAAAACGTATCCATGCTCATAAACGTTTGCTAAGGTATTTTTCATAGTAGAAGCGCTTCATGATAAATTATGTGCAAGAATTCGTGAGAACCCTAGAGTATGAAAAGATGTTGACTGACATTATGATAAAAAAAGCAATATATCCTTTTGTATCAATTCAACAGGCCTCACCATGCTCGATAAGCCGTTCATCACTCAGGCGCCGGTACACTGGTATCAACCTCGTCTAACATAACTGTCCACTCCCTCCAATCAAAATGCGTAGTTTTAATCTGGAAAACCAAAAATTCTCAGAATAGGCCAAACGACTAGGCGACGGGCACTGCCAACATTGGATGTTCTCAAATTGAGTGCATTAGTTCGGGAAAAGTCCATCTTCACAGTCCACATATTTTCATCGAAGTGTGAGATGCCTTCAAGCGATAGCATTTCTCGTGGCTCTTGCAGCTCAAAAATTCAACGGCTAAATTATTTCAAGCAGAGGACCGCTACGCTTTATTTCTTTCACAAACGACCTCGAATTACTGTTACATTTACAGAATGTTTTTTTCACCTATCCTCTGGATCGGAAAATATACTCGGTACCAATTTCTTCGTGAGTCAATTCTAAAATGTTTTTTAACTGCCCAGTGGACGGTTGTGACATGGTGGCGACGTTTCCGATTTTCGTTCGAATTATAAAATAGACCATTTTCCTTTCCTTGCATTTTCGTATCCTGTCATTTGAGCTTTCCTTGCTAATTGGCAGCTTCAAAAAATCTGCGAAAAACTTTTTTTTGAGAAGTTGTCATGTAAACTATTTCCATATCAATAAAGACATGAATATATCGTGCATCATTTCTTTATGAGTCTGAATAATCATACGTCGATTAATATGAATCAGCATTATCTAGAAAGTGAAAAGCAGTCAATCAGAAAAAAAACAACGCTCTCTGCCGCACCACCAAATGAAAGGACAGAAATTGACTATAATCAGCACAGTTCCAGGAAATAGCGCATTCACAAAATTTTTCTCAAGTCATCCAATCCATCCATCCTTCTTTTAAAAAACTTGACATGAATTTTACCTGAACGAGTGATTCTCCTTCGCCTTAGAACAGCAAAGTCGGTCACAGACCTCGCTTTGCAGAATTTGCTCTGAATATTGGATTGGAAACTTTTGAAGCTTTTAATAAGTCAAAGCGCTTCATACTGACGCTACTTGAGTATAAGCACTGAGCACCGTTTTTGTTGGCATGCGATCAGTTTCTTGCGTTAACTAGAAAATTTGCTTTCAGTTGAGTCTACATAATTTTTTAGGCATTTGGGAAACAAAGAAATAGTATTTCAAGCATGGTGAGACTTCCAACAGAATCCTTCGCGATTTTGTTGCTAGCCACAATCTCGTCAGTGATGGGATGTGGAGTGTTACCTGCGGGTCAAGGTAGTAAAGAAAAGATAAAGCTTTCACCATGGATATTTTTGATCTTACATGTATTTTTATGAACTCTAATGAGAATGAATTCATCTAAAACAACTTAGCGCTTAAGAACTATTTTGATCCAAGCTTTTTTCGTGTAAAAATTTCAAATTTCGATCGTGAAAATTCAAACATACCAACTCATTTGCCATGCTTATTGAGTTTTGAGTTTCTTTTAGGTCACCCGAAAACAAAAGAACATTTAACCTCATTAACCGGACAGAAATTTTCCATGGAATGTCAGTAATGTATCAAAAGCTTAAATCTTTGACTACTTCTTTTATCCACCTACCTACCTTAATCTTTTTTCGAAAACACAGCTGCATAGCGCTGTAGCATACAAAATTAAATAATCTTTCGCACTCACTGAGCCTTAATTTCTAATAGGCGCATAATTCGCTGAAAGCACGTAAAGGACATAGACGTGTACTGAAAATCTAGTAATATTCGAGTCATCTGTTTTGTGTAGAGGTTCTTTCAGAGCAAAAAAAAATTCGAAAACACCTCACATGTCAAAACGCGTCAGGCCATCAATCGGTCACCCCGCCTCTCCTCCCCCCTCCTTGCTCCTAGATTAGCAGGTGAACAAGCTCACCAAATATGTCAAAGACGATCTCATTTCCTTTGCTACACTGAAGTGAAAGAATTTTTCCAGAATATAAGCACAGCATTGGAATAACTGCAACTTCCGCTATCGAATGATTACTAATAGTTTAATGAGGGAGCTGTGTCGGGCAAAAGGTAAAACACAATCTTTTTTTCCTCTTAAAGCGTTATCAAAAGAGCTTTTCCACAAAGCAAACACTTTTGAGTTCTTTGAGACTTCTGCTATCGAAAGAGTTTTAGTATCCTAGTATCCTAAGGAAAGAGTTTTGTCCAGCGAAGTATATGTGAAATAAAAAGAAAATGCGTGGTGCATGTGGAACAAAATTTTATTTCCTGGATTCCACGAAGCTATACAGAGAATCTTTGGAAAGATCACGTGGGCGTTAGCCAAGGATTTAAGCTTCGAATCATTACTGACAGTCCTATGAACAATCATTGTCCAGCGAGCGAGGTCGAATATTCATTTGTCCCTTGGTAAGAGTTAAGAAGCTATTTTAATAGTTCATTACAAAAATTGCTAAATTTCATTCAGCGAGCACTAGAACATTCAACGTCACCGGCTTTACAACATTGCCTGTTGCTATGATTTACTCTACTGCACCCGATGTCCAAGCCCAGATCCC